TAACCACACTTTCCACCTTCTAGCTTCCTTCAATATCATTTCCAATCATCATACATGGACACACAATAATAATCATATGAAAAAAGAAAAATCACAAATAAATATAAAACTTTACCAAATTCAACTAAAATCAAGATATAATCCACAAAATTACCTCTTAGGCTACCACAAATCATGAATTAAACATCATTAGATGGAGGAGAGGGGTTCCTTCACTACTCACCTTAGTAATACAAGAGAGAGAGCAACTAATCACCTTAGCCTTACAAACAACTCCACTAAACACCTCACAATCACTAAGTGAAGGGGTTTTATGGAACAAATGCAAGATCAAATGGTTGATTTGTTGAATTTGAGCAAGATGGAAGCAAGAATTTGAAGAGCTTTTCCCTTTCTTTTTGCTTGAAGTGGCCGGCCAAGATGAGGAAGAAAATGGTGAATTTTTGGTAATTTTTTTGATTTATTTGGTCAAATGGTAAAAGGTGAATAGTAGTCATAAAGTACAACCAATCTCTAAGTGACACTTGTCACTTCATTAAATGCATAGCTATCACTTTTTTTCCTCTCACACCAATCCACTTGGTAACCTCTAATTATCTCTTAGCACCCGATAATTTAAGCCCAGTATCCAAAACTTAACCTAATTGGCCGAATTTTTTCGAATTTTCCGCACTAGCGGGTCCCACGTCCGGTATACGCTCTTAATTTCTCAAAACCTAACCGATACTAGAAAAATCATCTAAAAACTATATTTACTCATAAAAATTATCGGGAAAATTTTGCTAATAAAGAAAATGCAGAAAACATGCCATTAAAGAGAATAAAACCTACAAAATGAGAAAATTACGGGTTCTCACACTGGACAACACAACAGGCATGCCTCGTCAGAAAAATGGCGGTGCTTGAAAACACAATAGATGATGCCTCACCAGAGAGGTTCAGTTCAACCACTACAGAAGAGTAGTAGTCGGTCTACAACCACACAAGTACGAATAAGTTCAAAAGCAGTGTCAAAAGCAGGGTTCAAACAAATAAGTTCAAAAGCAGAGCCAATTACTTCAAGTTCAAGGAGCACAGGTACGAATAAGAACTCACAAAATCCAAGTCCACTTACAGGTCGTATACGAACCAAACTACTTGCTCATGCGTAAATGAAATACCATATATTCAAGGGTAAAATACATAAAACCCCCCTGTGGTTAAGGAAATTAACACGAAACTTCCTCATTGTTTAAAAACTCCCACATAACCTCCTTGTGCTTTGGACTAATTTGGAAAATGGACGGAAATCATCCAAATTGACGGCGTTTGAGATGCACTAGTGTATTAAGGGAGTTTCAAGTGACATTGTCAAGGACAATTTAGTATTTTGTAGTGTTTTGTCATTTTTTTTGTTTATTTTCCTTCTCCATTTCTTCCCTGCTCACAACCAAACTGGTCAATAACACCAAAATGGTCAACGACACTGGTGAACACCAATCATCTATCAGTACCGCCACTGGTGATCAGTAGCTCCACCATCACCAACAATCACCAGAAACTCTACCATCAATCATCACTCTGCTGTGGTATTCCCTCTGCCGTGGAAATCTCAGGGCCAACCACTGGCAGGAGGTCGCCGACGACGTCGCTTCTAGATGCCCCATCGGCAACGCCAAAACGGCCGTTCAGTGCCGGCACAAGATGGAGAAGCTGAGGAAACGTTACCGTGCCGAGATCCAACGCGCCGCCCCTTACGGCGGATCTAAGAGCCACAGGTATTGCTCCGCCTGGGTCCACTTTAAACGCATGGACGCCATGTAAAAAGGTCCCAATTCCTCCGCTGCGGCGGAAGCCGATGAGGATGAAGAAGATCAGGAAGAGTCACATGTTAAGCCCATTGGAGATATATATAACACCAATAGCTTGAATCATACGGGCAGTTATATCAATAATAATAGTAGTAACTGGAGTAGTTTTCATAGGGGTATGGTGAACGGAGGCACTGGGTTTCGAATTAGGATCACGGGAAGGGGGAACGTGGGGCTTGCCGCGGCTGCCAAGGTATATAGTAGATTTGATGATGTGGGTGGGCCTAACCCTAACACTGGTGTAAATTATGAGTCTACTAAAGCTTTGAGAGATGGGTTTGGCGGGAGAAGTGATATCGGGAAAAGGGTTGTCGGAGGTGATGTGAAAACGAGAGACTCGTTAGCAGAAATGGTGTCAGCCATATGGGTTCTGGGAGATGGGTTCGTGAGGATGGAAAGGATGAAGATGGACATGATAAGGGAAGTGGAGGAAATGAGGATGGAGATGGAGATGGAGATAAAGAGGACTGAAATGATTCGTGAGTCGCAACAGAGGATTGGTGATGAAGATGATACATTTTATAAAATTTTAAATGAGCCCCTTAGTTCTACCTTTGTTTCAAATGAAGGAAAAAAGTTTTTAAAACTTTAATTGAGCCCTGAGCTAAACTTTGATTCAGTTTGTAAATAGGGTTAATATAGGAAATTTATATCTTTTCGTCAATTTGGATGTTTTCTGTCCATTTTCCAAATTAGTCCAAAGCACAAGCAGGTTATGTGGGAGTTTTTAAACAATGAGGAAGTTTCGTATCAATTTCCTTAACCACTGGGGGGTTTTATGTATTTTACCCTATATTCAATCAAATCAGGTCCACTAATTGTATATAAGAGCACACTCGCCTAAACAAGTTCAAGTCTCAAGTGAACTCAGCCTAGTTAGTCTCAAGCAGTTCAAGTAGTTCAAATCCCAACACTTAAAAATCGGGTGGTGCCAACCTTCATCAAACAAGAAGACTAGAAGAAGGATGCAAAATCAAAAGTTTTCTCAACAATTCCGGCCACCACCATAATCTATCAAAACCCAAGCCAAACACTTATTGGACAAGTCCAAATCATTATTTCAATCTCCTCATTCAGTTAAAGTCAAGAGTACAAGACAAAATCTTCTGCGCTCTAACCTGTGCCATTACAACTTGTCTCAAACTCAATTATAATTTCTATTCACATCATCATACATTAAACCATGTTTCGTCCAAAATTCACGAGCATTTCCTCAGGAAAAGTATCGAGTACTCAAGTACAAGAAGTCAAACTAAGAAACTTCACAACTCAGACCATACACTCTCAAACGAAAATCAACAAAGTCATATCTTACGCGTACCACATTCAAGATTCACAACTTATGCTCCAAAAGAGCACTTAACTTACAAACCAATCCCACAGTCTGGCATCCTAAACTTTAAACTTATGATACACTACAGAGATCTAAACCCTAAACTCTGATACCATCTGTGACGCCCCACCCCCCCTAAGGCGTACTTCAGGGTTCGGCGGATCGCCTGCCCAGCTCTCGCCGAGACTCACTCACTCACTACAGTCCTCAAATGAATTACAAGATAAATCTCAAATATTACATCCAATTCTTCAAGAATTACATATTACGAGTGCCAGAAAGTAAACCCTAAAAAATCTGATAACTACAACTGTAAGGATCGAAGACAACCTAAGAGGGGGGTGAATTAGGCTTTCAAAAACCTGCTAGTAAATATTCAACCTTTTTGGATAGACAGCCCTTCTTCTTCAAAATGCTTCTCAATGAACAAGATAATATAGTAGCACAGGTATTAGTGAGATGAGGAGAAGAGCAGTTTATATAGAAAAGCAGTAAATGAGAGTTAAGGACCAAACCAAGCTTCAAACACAACTGATGTTTGAACACCTCTATTATATACCAAGTTACTTCAAGCTGAATAGACTTGCAACCAATCTTATGTGTACAAGGAAGGGATCACTTCCTTCTTGCCCCAAAACACACTTGGTCAAGCAAGAAAGTTTTACATACACTCGCAAACCCTAACTATGCTACACTATTGAAGAAGCTATATCACACTTGAAAAAACAGCTTCACGAAGATTGCACATGCAAGGAATACAAATGTTTCTTTTGAGTATTCTAGCACTTGAATCACTCACAATCTGATGTAAGCTTGATGTACAAAGTTGTCTTGAGGTGGTTGACTTTGTTCCTTTTATAGGAGACCAGAGAATTCCTCAATTAATGCTGTTAACGGGTAGAAGGCAGCTGAAGAGTCAACTAGCCGTTGGTGCTGTCGGACGTCCGATGGTTGGATTTTCTGCGTCCGAACGAGATCAATGAGTTCTGGAAGTTTTCTTGAAATCCTTCGGACGGCCGATGCGTTCAGAGTGTTGTGTCCGAAGAGCAGCAATACTTGTCGGACGTCCGATACACAGATGTTGAGCGTCCGATCATGATTAGTAGTCATCGAACCTCTGGCTTGTCTTTTTCGGACGTCCGAGTCTGAGTTCTTTACTCGTCCGAAGATGCTCAAAGGATATCGGACGTCCGATACTTTCCTTTTGTGCGTCCGACATCATCCTCAGCAATCTTCATTCTTTTTGATCTCCTTTATCTGCTTTAAAGCCTCAGACCTGTTTGGTTCATTTCTGAAAAGGATTTCTACAAGAGGTATTAGAAATATCCATTTGTTTTGTAATCATCGAAAGATATGAGTTGAGATAAACAATCTCCCCCTTTTTGATGATGACAAAACAATTGGATGGAGCAAAAAAAATGTAGCAACTCCCCCTAACGAGGTGCATAAGTAAATTTAACACAACTCCCCCTGAGACTGACTCCCCCTAACTAGTTGCTTTACACCACCAGTTCCAATTCCAATTCTCCCCCTTTTTGTCATCACACAGTATACAGAAGCAATATTAGAAGCAATATCATCCCATCAGAAGCAGTATCAGTATACACAGTAACAATATTCAGCACAATTTGGAATCAATTAGAAACATTCAAGCATAAACACATAACCAACTATAACACATATTCAAAACATTATAACATTTAGAAACAGAAAATATGGCTAGATATTACAGACCAGATGTTCAGCACTTGATACAAAAGTGCAATGCAAAAAGATGAACTATAATCCTAGATAAAGGTGCAGTGGCCTAGTAGTGCCTAGATGGTGATTTTAGATGATCTAGGCCTTCTCCTGGCCAGACGATACTGTGCAGGATCCTCTTCTTCCTCAGTTTCTTCATCACTATCTTCAGATGCTTCCTCAGTCACTGGAGTCTTGCCTTTATCCTTGGGCTGAGAACTAGAAGCTGGAGTAGTCTCATCACCAGTGGTTGGCCTTGTGGTCTCAGTTCTTGGTTCTTTCTGATGAGCAGCTTCATTTGTTTCAGGTATAGGGGGCACAAGAAGATTCCTTTTTTCAAGAAAGGAGGATTGTTGGGCAGAGGTCATGGTCATCATGAGACCATCTTCAAGAAGCATAACATGCTGTTTAAGGTCTTCAAGCAGAGAGATGACCTCAGAATTGGAAGAGAAGGACTTACTGGCAGACTTTCTGGGATGAATGGTGAAAGGAGATATATACCCTGACTGATCATGGGGAGTTCTAGGAGTGACAGGGGTTTCATGCAAATTTTTTCTTCTAGACTCGGCTACAGTCTCTTTGTAGCACCAATGACCCTCAAAAAATTTTAGATTCTTTCTTTCAAAGTAAGCTTTGGAGAAAACTGAAGATGCACTTTCTTTTGGAGATTTGCCAGAGAAGGGTATGTCAAAATGAGCAAAAATGGGGGTCAGAAATCTGCCATAGGAAAGCTTCCTACGACTATCAGTGCTGATTTTGAGCAGAAATTTGCACATTACAAATCCAAAGTCAATGCGGATTTTTTCAACAAAGCAGTAGAAAAGATAGAGTTCCATTTTATTTGCATCTGTTCTGTGGCCATCAGTTGGCACCAACAGATTCGAGATGATAGTGAAGATGATCAGATTCTGAGGACTGAGATCATCCAATCTTGCCTCAGCAGGGGTGTTGAATTTGGATTGAAAATAAGTCATGAGTTTAGCACTGTAAAAGTGATGATAGGCAGAAGGAAATTCCTCATATGAAAAGAAGTTTGCAATTTTTCCTTTGAAACTTGGTTCAATGCTGGTTTTCAAAATGGAGTTCACAATGTCAGGAGTTAACATGATGTCCACAGAATTGACCCTAGAGATGAGTTCAGTGTGTGATTTACCCTTTCTAAGATTAGCAAAGAATTGATATAGCATGTCAGGGTAAAAGACATTAGGAATGGTCAGAATATGGGTCCATTTTTGGAATTCAAACAGTTTGACAACAGATTCAAGATCAAGTTTACGGAATTCATAGGGAATGATAAGTCTTTGGGTGATAAAACCTTTTTGAGAGACCAACTCAAATCTGTCTCTGGCTTCATCATCAATGAATTTCGGAAGAGGAGTGGGTTCTTCAACTGGTTGAGACACAGGATCCTTTCCAGAGCGTTTCTTGCTTGGAGTTTGTGTGGCAGATGCTTCCACATTTTGAGCCTCAGATCTAGTCCTTGGAGACTTCCTGGTGGAAGGTTCAGGAGTTTTCTTACTCCCAGTAGTGTTCTCTTCATTCTGCTGATCATCAGTGGGATCAGCAGACTGTTTTTTCTTGGATTGAGGAGTGCTCTTCCTCTTAGCGGACCTCTTTCTTTTGGCAGAGGATCTTGTGACAGTTTTATCTCCCAGGTCAGCCTGTTCTGGTTCCTCATTTCGACCAACAATGTTCTCTTTAGAGTTCTGCCCATCCAACTGTTCATCAGATGATTCAGCAGTTTGGATATCCAGTTTCCTTTGGGCAGTCTGCTTCACCTTACCACTACGGGTTATAGTCTTCTTTTTGGGTGCCACAGGAGGTGGTTCCAAAATTTCAATATCTTCATCCCTAAGCCTAAAAGATCGTCCGACACTAGAAGATCCTCCTCTCATTCTAACCATGATGCAATGTGGATATGTTTTTGGATAAGGAATGTGGTGTACAAAGAAGGAGTGCAGTAAGAACCAATTGATGAATACTGAGGAGCCGCAAGGAGAGGGTTATATGATTTTAGGATTTCGTATGTAAATTAGGAATTTTGGGGTAGTTGGGTGTTAGGAGTGCCTTTTATGAATGATTAATGAGCAAGAGAGGTGTAATGGAGTTGATTGAGTCAATTTCTCGAAACTTGGTTTGAGGAGAGAGGAATTTGAATTTCAAATTTTAGAGAAACTGAAAGGTCGCGTCCGAGACTTATGAAGGAAAATGAATTGAGAAGAGTGGATAACTGTCTTATAGGACTCCTTTTTTTGAGTGTCGGACGTCCGAACGAAGTGATGCGTCCGACACAACCGTCCGAGCCAGGGATTTTCTGGACCTTGGATGAAGAACACTGTCGGACGTCCGTTCCAATTCATCGGACGTCCGATAAGGATTGACTGGAAATAAGACTCAGAACATTTTTTCTGTAACACCCAATTTAGTCCTTAAAGACACAAATTGATCTAGCGGAAGAGCTTTTGTGAGGATATCAGCGATCTGTTCTTTAGAACAAACAAACTCAACACGGATTACCCCATTTGAGACAAGATCGCGAATAAAATGATGCTTTATATCAATGTGCTTAGTCCTAGAGTGTTGAATGGGATTTTTTGTTAGATTTATTGCACTAGTGTTGTCACAATACATGGGTACACATTCATATACTAAACCGAAGTCATTCAATGTGTTTTTCATCCATAACAGTTGAGCACAACAAGCACCAGCAGCAACATATTCAGCTTCAGTAGTGGACAATGAGATAGCATTTTGTTTTTAACTAAACCAAGAGACCAAGCAATTTCCAAGAAAGTTGCATATACCAGTAGTACTTTTTCTATCTATTTTACAACCACCAAAGTCGGCATCAGAGAATCCACACAAAGGAAGTTCATGACATTTTGGATACCACAAACCAAAATTTAAGGTTCCTTTAAGATATCTTAAGATTCTTTTTACCGCATTCAAGTGTGATTCCTTTGGGCAGGATTGAAAACGAGCACATAAACACACAGCAAACATGATGTCAGGCCTACTAGCAGTTAAATAAAGTAAACTTCCAATCATACCTCTGTACTTCTTCTCCTCAACTTTAATACCTTCCTCATCTTTGTCTAGTTTGGTAGAGGTGCACATAGGTGTCCCAACAGGCTTTGAATCCTCCATTCTGAATCTTTTCAGCAACTCCATGGTGTATTTTGTTTGATTTATAAATGTTCCATCATGGGTTTGAATCACTTGGAGTCCAAGGAAGAAATTCAGTTCTCCCATCATGCTCATTTCAAATTCTTTTTGCATGATAATGGAAAAATCCTTGCACAAATTTTCATTAGTAGCACCAAATATGATATCATCCACATATATTTGCACTATCAAAAGATCTTGTGAGTTTTGTTTTGTAAAAAGTGTAGTGTCTACAATGCCTCTTTTAAAACCATTTTCAATCAGAAATCCACTCAGACGTTCATACCATGCTCTAGGAGCTTGCTTTAATCCATATAAAGCTTTTGAGAGTTTAAACACGTGATTTGGATAAGATACATTTTCAAAACCAGGTGGTTGGTCAACATAGACTTCTTGATCTATAAATCCATTTAAGAAGGCACTCTTAACATCCATTTGAAATAATTTAAAATTCTTGAAACATGCAAATGCTAAAAACATTCTTATGGATTCCAGCCTGGCTACTGGTGCAAAAGACTCATCAAAGTCTATTCCCTCTTATTGAGTGTATCCTTTAGCCACCAGTCTAGCCTTATTTCTAACAATCTCCCCTTTATCATTCAATTTGTTTCTAAATACCCATTTTGTGCCAATGATAGGATGGCCTTGTGGTCTGGCAACCAGAGTCCAGACATTGTTTCTTTCAAATTGGATTAACTCTTCTTCCATAGCTAAAATCCAGTGTTCATCATTCAAAGCATCAACTACATTTTTAGGTTCAATATGTGATACAAAAGCAAGATTATCTACCAGGTGTCTAGAGGAACGAGTCCTGACCTTTTCAGAAGGATCACCAATTATGAGCTCCCTGGGATGATTATGAGCAAATTTCCAGGCTCTTGGAAGATCATTAGGAGTAGTGGTATCTCTATTATTCACTTCTTCAGCTGGACTGACCTGAGCATCATTATCCTTTGAATCAGTTTCTGGTGAAGCAGAGTCATGGTTATTGATTGCTAGTTTCTTTAGTCCTTCTTGAATACCTGTGTCATCATCTTCACCACAACTCATAGAAATGTCACCATTAGATTCATCAAAAGTAATGTGTATAGCCTCCTCTATAATCAATGTTCTACGATTATAAACTCTGAAACCTTTTTTGTTTTCACAATATCCCAAGAAAATTTCTTCATCAGATTTCTTGTCAAACTTTCCAAGATGTTCCTTGATATTCAACACGAAACATTTACAACCAAATACTTTGAAGTAGCTGACTACTGGCTTTTTATCATACATGAGCTCATAGGAAGTTTTGTTCAGAATTGGTTTTAGAAGAATTCTATTCATGGTATAACAGGCTGTGTTTATGGCTTCAGCCCAAAAATATTTTGGTAATTTGCATTCACTAAACATGGTTCTGGCAGCCTCTTGGAGAGTTCTATTTTTTCTTTCTACAACTCCATTCTGTTGAGGAACTCTAGCAATAGAGAATTCATGGGTAATACCATTGTGATCACAAAATTCTGGAAAACCACAGAACTTAAATTCTGTCCCATTATCACTTCTAATTCTAACAATTTTCAAGCCAAGCAGATTTTGTACTTTAGCAAATAATGAGGTAAAATTCTTAAAGGCATCATCTTTATGAGCAAGGAATATTACCCAAGTATATCGAAAGAAGTCATCAACAATCACAAAACAATATCTCTTACCACCAAGGCTTGCAGTCTGTGTAGGGCCAAATAGATCAAGGTGCAGAAGTTCAAGTGGTTTTGAAGTGGAAACACATTTCTTAGGTTTAAAAGAGACCTTGACTTGTTTTCCAAATTGGCATGCATCACAGATTCTGTCTTTTTCAAATCTGATTTTTGGAAGACCTCTAACAAGTTCCTTTTTCGAAATTTCTTTCAGCAAGTCCATATTGAAGTGACACAACCTTCTATGCCACAGCCATGAATCCTCATTTGGTACTTTGAGACATTTGAGATATGAGGAATCAAAATTTTCAAGATACACAACATAGACATCATTAACTCTTTTTCCTTTGAAAATAATGTTGAACTTTGAGTCAAATATAAGACATTCAAGCTTTTTGAATATTACAAACAGATTCCTATCACACAATTGGCTAACACTTAACAGATTGTAGCTCAAATTATCAACAAGAACATTGTGGATAAAAGTTTGATCATTCTTACCAACATCGCCAATGCCAATAGTTTTGGCTTTGTTATCATCTCCAAAAGTTACCTTTCCACTTGCTTTTTGCTTGAGTTTAATAAATTGTGATGCATCACCAGTCATATGTCTTGAACATCCACTATCAATGAACCATTTTGATCCTTTAGCACTGTAATCCTGGTTCACCTACACACAAACCCACAAGATAATACTTGGTACCCTTTACATATTGGGTCCTTGAGAGTTAGTCTTATGTTTGACTATCCACATGCATCTCATCCCGTTCCTCATATTTTTCTTAACATGACAGTTGCTGTACATGTGGCCAGATTGACAACAAAAGTTGCATATTGACATAGGATTAATCAAATGAACAGGTTTGATGAATCTGACTTGCCTTCTTCTGTGGATAGCAAACTCATTTGTATTTTGGTTCAGTCTTATTCGATGAGTATTAACATAAGGTACAGTGTCAATTTTTTGAAGATGATTCTGTTTCACATGATGTAACAATTTACATAAATCATCCATCCTTTTTCTCAGGCTGCATTGCTCACTTTTGAGTAAGTCACAGTAATTTTTCTTTTTGTAAAGTTCAGCAAGCACATCAGTTTCAGTTCTTTTCAGGTTATCATTTTCATGCTTAAGGCATTTGTTTTGTCGAAAAAGATTTGCATTGTCTTGTATTAGAAAGCTGATTTTTTGCTTCAGTTCTTTGTTTTTAGCATAGGATTCTTTCAAGCTGTCATGCATTTTTTCTAGAAAAGAATTGACATCATCATCAGATTCACTATCACTATTGATTTGAGAGTTGCATTGTGTTACCTCTTCATCTCCAATGGCCATGAAAGCTACTTGAGCAGATTCCTCTTCTTCTTCAACTTCGCCTTCTGAGTTGCAATCATTCCAGGTAATCTGGAAATTGTTGAACTTTGGTTTTCGTTCAAACTTGTTTTCCTTCTTTTTCTTCATTGGACACTCATTTGCATAATGTCCAGGTTGGCCACATTCAAAACATTTATCATTCTGCTTCTTGTTGAACTCTAGTTTCCCTCTATTCCTGAAGTCATTAGTCTGATTCTGGAAGGAGTTGCTGGATCCGCCTTTCCTGAATTTTCTCTTATTGAGAAATCTTTTGAAGCCTCTTGTGATGAGTGCAATGTCACTATCATCACCTTCTAAGTCATTTTCATCCAGTGAGGCTGTTTCATCTTCATCTTGTGAAGTTTTTAGAGCAATACTCTTCCTTCCTTTTGTGTCTTCTTCTTCCTGCAACTTAGATTTAAGTTTCAGTTCGTAGGAGGTTAGAGAGTTAATCAGAGATTCAATGGGTAAGGAATTTAAATCCTTAGCTTCCTCTATAGCAGTCACTTTGCTTTCCCAATCCTTTGATAGAGCGTTCAGAATTTTTCTGTTCTTTTCACCTAGAGAGTATTCCTTCTCGAGTACCTCTAAATCCTTGATCAGATCATTGAATCTACAATACATTTTGTCGATGTTCTCATGAGGCTCCATCTTAAAAGATTCATACTTGGTGACCAGAATGGACTTCTTCTGTTCTCTTACGTTG